TTCCTTGGATTCGATTTGCCTTTGGTACTTCTACAAGTCACCTATCCGCACTGCTTTTCTTTTCTTTTCTTTTTTGGCTTTTCCCCAGAGCGATCATCAGCATCATAATCATCATCATCATTTACATTTACTTTTTTCTTTTTCTTTTTCTTTTTCTTTTTTTTTTGTCAGAGGGAAATCTCGATGGGGTCTGATCATATTGCTTTGTTCTTATTATGCCTTAATTTGCATATTGTTAGCGTGAGTAGTAAAGTAACGCCAACAACAGTGTCATCCATTTTCTCTTTACAAAATTGACTGATCATGCATTACAAGACTTGGATGAATGAGAAAGTGGCTAGACTACTAGGCTGTTTGTTTCTATGGCATTTTATGTATTTAATTTAAACAACTCTTCTAGAAAGAAAACAAAATAAATAATATGTTGGGATTTCTAAGTCCGGGTTGGTTTAGGGCATCTTCGATTTGACACCCAAAACTAACCTGATACGATAGAACCTGGGCCATGGCTTAGGGAAGATGAAGAATCAATGGGGCCCATCATGACATAACTGTTGTTGCCCTGTTAGTTACTGAATACTGACTGACGAGGAGGAGGAGGAGCCTCTGTCACAAGAACAACACCATCATGTCATCAGTTTTAGGGATTATTTTTGCTCATCACTTTAACTCAAAGTGTACTCTCACCATCCATCTCAACACTTGACACGTGTTTCTTGATATAATTATAATTAACTTTTACTTTGTATTTATGCAATCATGGTTATGTCAATAGACACGTGTCAAATGTTGATAAGGATGGTGATGATACACATTTGGTTAAAGTGGTGAGCAAAAATGCTCCCGTCATTTTATGCAGTGTGTCAGCCAACCTACAAACTTTCTCTGCTAGCTTAGCTACCTGCTAGTACTGTTCCTTTCCCCCCCCTCTCTCTATATCTCTCTCTTCCTTGTTTCTTTTTTCTGGTAAATGAATCCATCCAAAGTTCCAAACCCATTAATTAAGCAATGCAAATCATAATTTACTCGTGTTTATCAATGAGAACGAATGACTTACACTTTTGCTAGCTGTTGTTCAGTACAATTATTCATTCATTTTATCATTTGAAAGCAACAACATACAATTCATGGGGTTTTGGCTTCTTCTGCATAAGTCATTATTGAAATTATATTTAATAAATCACTTTTGCCGGAAAAGTGCCAAGTAAATTTCCTTGTTTTCTTCACTGATAGATATTAGTGATAATGGGGAATGATTATAGCTATTTTTGCTTTCGGTAATCCATCATTAACAGAACCAATCTTTACCTCTACAAAGTCCCTCCCTCCTATAGCTACATTAATTCATCCATCCATCCATCCTACATGCTAAAAGAAAAGTAACGACAAACCCAAAACAAACAAAAAAATAAAGAACAAAGAGAGAGAAATATAATTCTGAATATGAATTAATATATAACGTATTAGAGCAATCAATATGTCAAAAGTGCCATATAGACATTTAACGGCTAGAAATAACATCTCACTCCAACCGAATTGTCAAAGCTGATGTGGAATGAAGGCTGGAGGTTCAGCTGTTATTTTTGACATCCCAAAAGCAAGATGTCAAATGAATATTTTATTATTTTTTAAAGACAGCTGGTTGTTACTTTCATTTATTATTTTCCTTTTTTATTATTTTCTTCTTTATCTTGAATGATTTGACTGTTACAATAATTATTTATTTGACATATCGGGTGGAGTGTAAAACTGTGTAAATGTCAAATTGCCACATCAACCATCAAATTAAAATTTGATGTTTGGTATTTGACATATCCATCGGAGATGCTCTTAGTAATAGTATGAAGCTTTTTTTTTTCTTTTTTCTGGGAAATGGGGAAATGGGGAAATGGGGAAATGTGGAAATGTGGTTGTTGATGGAGTGAGAGTGAATGAAGTAGTAACAACATTTCTTCTTTTGTGTAATGTTTTGGAGAATGAGCACGTGACCCATGAGCATGAGGGAATTCATACAGAGTTCGTTAAACTTCCTGTTTTGGAAACATACAAGTTAAACTGATATACGTATTCATTCTTGTGTTTCCACTACTAGTGTTGTTTGTTCGTTTGTTGCCACGCCACGCCTATGCTCCTGTGATGATGATGATGATGACTGTAAAAAGTAAAAACCCTAATATTGTCCTTATTGTACGTGTGAACTATTTCTTTACTAAATAAATAAACAAATGTGGTCCAATTTATAAAGTAGAACCAAGCATGAAAGAAAAGAGATAAGTGGTCCAATTTATTAGATGTGGAGATCCAAAGCTCGTCCCATTCATTCACAATGTTCTCTCTCTCTCTCTCTCTCTCTCTCTCTCTCATCACTTGTTATTTTGCGTTTTGAAGGATGGCCCTCAGTCTGAGTCTGAAGAGATGATAAATGGGCATGAATCATGATATGGGGTCTGAGCTGAGACTTGCAATCTTGGCTTGATGGCTACTGTAATTGCACGTTTGTGGTTCACATGCGCCCGGTCCACATTCAATTTCAAACTCTCTCTCTCTCTCTCTCTCTGTCACGACTCACATGAGGCAGGCAGGCAGGCATGCAGTGAGAAAGAAAGGGAGAGTTTTATTAGGTTGTGATTTTGTGCATGCACCTCCTATAGCCTATATATAGAGCAGAGCCTAGAGCTAGACTGGGACATTTTGGCCGACCAAAGTGTTTGAGTTAAAAGGCTGACAGCTAACACATGAATTATCGAATTCCTCATTAACTAAGCAGTGCCGGTGAGGGGGCAGTGTTTGGTTTGCCGTACTAAACTCGTAGCCTCCAACAACCGGCAATCTCATTCATCATGTTTTCCGTATCCTTTACCCCCTACACAACACAACAAACAACCAACTCAAAATCACAAATAAATAAAAAAAGCCCAACTACATACTTTTAATTTTAACAGAAATGTGTGGCCTAGTTTGAAGCCCAATAGTTCATCCCCAGCAAATTTGTTATGGGTCCAGCTATTGAGGCTCAAGATACTGCATGGGCTTAGAAGCCGACTTAGACCATGGACCTAGGCCAAGCTGCCTGTTTTTATTACTCAAACACAGGCCCTCTGATGTGAATCTCATCTGACCAACAATTTCCATATTTTTCTCGTCTTCTTTTCTTTATAAAGACATATCTATCTATCTAGTCTACGCCTTGCATATTTCTGCTTGATGAACGAAACCAAAGTAGGTATTTATATCGTGAACATACCCCAGGCTTAATTAGGCAATCAAAATAGCTTCCAGAAAGCCCTTTAGGTTAGGTGGAACCAATTGCTTTTGTGTTAGTGGAAGGATGACTCTAAAGAGAGTCAAGACACATCCCCTTCCCTTATCCAACCGTCCAAATATTTTCGAATCCAAATGAAAGCGAGGCCAGCCCGACTAGATCATTCCCCATAACTTGGAATCTGTATTTCCATTCATTCACCAAAATCGATTCAAAACCAAAAATCAACCCTCTTTTTGCAACCCCATGAATTGACTTCCATTTTTAAAATTCACACGGGTTTTTTTCTTTGGGGTTTATGTTTGTGTTTTTAAAGGCTCCCAAGAGAAAGTGATGTTGGCAACTACCACTGGCTCTAGTGCTTTCAGTTCAGTATGAACCACCCACCCCATTCTGTGGTTTTGAATTTGTTACTTGCTTGCTTGGACTCATAAAAAGCTTAGGATTGAGATAGGGGCTTTTAAAGCATGGACTGGTTACTGATTAAGACACCCATTTCTCAAAGCTGTTTCACAAGCTGCTGTTGTGTTGAAGTAGTGCTTTATTCTTTTTTGTTCTATCTCATATCATGTCATTTTCCAACACATGTATATATTATGAGATTGTACCTGGTGGCACGGCTACTGTACATTTCACATGCGCTAATTCAACATACTTTCGGAATTTCTAAGATGTTACTCATATGCATGACCACATATGCAGCTTCAATAACAAATAAGTCTCTCAATTCTCAAACACGTCAAACATTGACTTGCTCTTCAAAACTGGACACTTGTTTGACCTAGGCACTGATGAAGGACAATAAAGAAAAGATTAATTAGAGAGGTTTCAAAGTTTCAAGCATCCCCCAAAAGTCTAGCAAACTATCCTAGGCACTGATGATGACGGACAGATATATACAGACACTAGCTACTTTCTTTTCTTTTCTTTTTCTCTTTATTTTTGGAAGGAAAAAAAACAGACCCAAAAAAAATGAATGTTGGGTTTTGCTGCCCGTTTGGAAGGGGATGCAAAAGAATCGGTTTAGAGATATGGCAGGCCCATTCATTCACGTGGGTGGCAGAGGAGGAGGAGGTCAAAAGTCAGCACCTGCTTGCATCTGTTGCTGGGTCTTGACGTGAGTGTTTGTTTATTTATAGTCTAAATTAACACGAGTGAATGAATGAACCTATTAATTTCTGAGTCTAAAAGCTTAGGACCAGTTTGGAACGCAATTATGCATAATTAGTCAAAGGTTCATTATTCTCTATGATTAGTTGGCCTTCTTCTGTGGCTGTGGCCCATCAAAAAGTTGTTGCCTTTCCTACCAGCTTAATTATTCTCAATGTCTTAATTAGAAAAGGAATCACTCTCTCTCTCTCTGCAACTATACGCTTGCTCAACTATGACTGCATGAACAAGTCTACACTGGGCTGAGTTGTATCCATTTTGAACCCAATTCATTTTGTGTTTTTTGTTATAAAAAATGAAAAAAAGTAATTACAGCAAAAGTATATAACACACACAATAATTTGTTGGTTAAAAAAGAGACAAAATTGAATCAGGAGGTGAAGCGAAGGAAATAGAGACACTCTGGCTTTGGTTTCACGTGGATTGGCGCCACTAAAATTTCCACAACGTCTCGTCTCCCACTCCCATGATTGAAATTCATATAAAACTAAAAGCTACACAACCAACAAACGGTTAGTTGTCAAACAAGGGTATTAATATTATATATAGCCATAATGAACAATCATGATTAAATTTCTCTACAATTTATCTTTAATTAATCAATAAATCACAGAATTTACAAGGAAAATCGAGACCCAATAATATTCAGTAATTTTGTTTTCTTTGTTCATCTTTCTCCTCGGCAGCAGCAGGAGCAGCTCGCTTCTCTGCCTCCACTCCGATTCGAACCCGGGACGACTCGGTGGATCACTCCCCCACCCATTTGCCATCTCCATAGCGTTCTTCGGAGTTTCATTTATTCTTACTCAGTGCCCAATAATGACATCACTTTCAAGGGGAAAAAAAAAACAAAAAGGCCCCATCGTCAATCACTAAGTACACCCAACTGGGTTAATTCATCCGAGCCCATTTTAGGCTCGAACTCTTTGTGTCATATCATTAACAGTTTACTCTCTTCAATCAATTGATGGCTGGCTGCCATGGAGAGCGATATAACTCGGACTGAGTCCACCCGGGTGAGAGAGAACCGAAGCGTGTTTTTGTATATATCCTCCTTTATTTTCAGAAACCAAAATAAAATTACCAACTAAACACACTTGGTTTTCCGCTTTGCTTACCAAATTGTTTTATCAGAAAATCCACGAAGCAACGGTCGAGAATCGGCCCAGAAATCGAGGTTACTCAGGATGCCCGCGTGGCAGTATCTTTGGAAGTCGTCTAGATTGACGAACCGGGTCGACCCACCCGACTCGGATCGAGAAATGAATCGGAGCACCTCTTCGAAGAGTGACTCGTCGCAGGGTATCGCGAGCGGGCCTTGGTTGGAGAAGCCGTACTCCTCCTCGGCTTCTACTAGGAGCTTCTTGAAGACGGGGTGGTTCAGGTACGACGCGCGCACCACAAATCGGGTGCAACTGCTGCCCACGCTGACGGCCACATGTCCTGCGGGAACATCCGACGGTATGCGATTGGCTGACATGCGGGCCTTGCTGCGCCACCGCCGCAGCAGTTGGCGGAGCCTCACAATGTGCCGGATCTTGCTGCATTTTCCCAGTCCGGCTGACATTTTGCTGGAAAGCGATGGAAAATGAGAACTCACTCTGCTTTGGGTTTTTGGGTTCTGTTTGCCGCAAATATGAGGTGAGTGGGAAATTTGGGGGTTTGTGCTTTTGGGAGGGAGGAGAATCTTATAGAGACGCGGTTTAGGAAATGCCCTTATTTTTTGAGATAATTACAACACAGTACTTACCGTCTGCTGTTTTCGCACAATTGTTTAAGGCAGTGATTTGCTGATTGTAAGTAGATTTTAGGCCGTTGTTGTTGAGTGATGGATACAGATATTGTACCGTAATAATATCCAAAAGTTGAGGCGTAATTCAGATTAAATTCTTATTTCTTACCAAGATTGCCATCATGTGATCTTTCGATGATAACCTACTGGATTTTCATTTATTTACACGCTGTATGAAAGTTACCTTAGTTAAGACTCATATGTAGCATTTTCATCCTTTGCTCGTTATGTTATAGGGATTTGATTTCAAAGTTACCTAATAGGTTCATAATAAGGGATAAAGGTTATTAACCTGAAAATTACATTATAATAAGTTGACAATGATTATTATACTGATAAATTTGTAATAAGATATTGATATCTCATTCATAATTTGAACATGTAAATACATATCAATGGATCATAATCATTAATGATATTTGCTATAAAAGTTGATTGTAGTATGAACTATTGTAGCCCAAGTAAGCGAAAAATAAAAATTTAACACCAACAATGAAAAACAAGGTAGAAGAAGAGGAGTCCATACGGAAGAGTACAAGTCATGTATAGATTTGTAAACCATGGAAGCATCTTACTGTTTTGTGCGTAAAACTACTAGTAAATTGTTCATAAATAATATCTTAGAGTATCTCCAAGAGAGTATGCAAAGGAGTAGCCACGTTACCATTTTATTCCTCCAACAAAGTAGGCATCCAAGTATTCAAAATATACATACTTCCTCCAATAAGACAATGTTTCATATTTCAAAATGAATAGGTATATTATATTGGACTCCATTTGATGTTTTTGATAAATATCATCTCCACTCTTTTCACTTCTTTTCTATAAAATATAATAGTAATGTCAAAGATAAAAGTACGGGTCAATTATTTTCATTAATCAAATGGGTAGCAACATGTCTCCTAAATTGTTATAGTACAACTTGGACTATTTCAATCTTAAAGCCGCCGAGGCCAAAGAAGAAAATAATGAAAATAAGAAACATTTAAGAGTCTTTGTGAAATTGTGATGATGTCCGTGCATTATGCTTTTTGCACAGGATCGAAATCGAAGTTGAAGACAACTGAAACTCAGAACCCACCACCACATGCATACTTGATAATACCTGTGAAGAAAAAAGAAAAAAGAAAGAGGAAAGAAGAAAGTTGTTTTTTTCTTCTCAAGAAGTATTGGTTGAATCTAGCTATTGTTGAGAGTATTTGTCCCACATTGAAATGTTAAGGGACCTAGTCTGGGTTTATAAGGAGTTGTGCTACTCCCCCCATTGCCAATTGGTTTTGATGTGGAACCTCAACTTCCTTCAGCTATTAGTATTACCATAACATTCATTCATTACCTACGCAAGAAGATGCCCTTTGGCTGCTCCAAACTTATAAAATTATCTATGCTGCAACCCCTTCTTAAAGGAAACGATTTTGTATTCTCCAAATCTGACCATGCCCCATGTGCAAGGATGCCCCATCTTTCCCTTTGTTTTATAGCCCCAAAAACAAAGAGCCAAAAACGTTCCCCTCCTAATCACTTTATTTGCCCGTATTTGAGCATCCCACCCAGTTTTATTTTTCTAATTAGGAGCACGAGATCGCAACATCTGGCACTTAAGTGGATCATCTACATCAATCATTTTCCATTATCTCACCCTAAAGATTTAAAAGGCCTAAAAGACATTATTAAACTATGCACTAACAAAAATAAAAAAGAGGGTCAATTAATATGCGCTCATGGAGATCCAATGGGTCCACGTGCATGTTATGGGAGGTAGGGGTGCATCCCCCCAAACGTCACATTAATTTGCATTTGCATGGTTAGTACTTTGGTACCCTCACACACACACACACTCACTAATAGCTAGCTTGTAAGGATTTGAGGATCCTGGCTTGGCTTCTTTTGAAATCATTGTTCATTGTTTTAACAAACACATCTTCAACCAAATCCTGTCAACATAGACTAGTGCTATAATATTTGTTGCACATTTATAATTTTCCCCAACTTTGTTTTCTTCCTGTTTTTAAATTTCTCCCTCTCTTTTGTTTCCATTACGACACAATTTCAGAAAGATTTGGGGAATATATGCAGGATTTAAGGAAGAGGGTAACTCTGAAATTAGACCCACCAGCTGTGGTTTTTTTTTTCTCAACATTTTCTATTTTTTATTTTTAAAATAAATGGAGTCAATTATCTACTGGGACTGGAATTGGATGACTGGTAAAATGATGTCGACTACTACTATGAACTATCAAGGGAGACGGTCTCGGGTCCCACAAACTGATGACGTGGCGAAGTTCCATATCCGAGTGCGCTGTTCTCTATGAATATCGTTATCCCACGTAAATGTCAGGAGGGATGACATGGCACAGCCACTTGTCTTGGAACGCATGACAACGGGCCCCCTGATCCACCAATTGGATGGGTGGTGGGACCTCCTTCGCCTCCCAAATCAGCCAATGAGCTTTGGTCTTGTGTGGCTACAAGGCGAGTTGGAGTTGGAGAGGAAGGCTTAGTGGGTACTTTTTAAAAGGGCGTCTAGGTTCGGAAGCTTGGCTTAGCTGTACACTCAACTCTGTTACCGGCCTCACGGACCCAGGAGAGAGAGAGAGAGAGAGAGCCAGTCCTCTCCTTCTCGTACGGGCTGTCGCAATTTTAAAATAATAAAGTGAAATGAAAAATCGCATAAAAATCACTTTACGCAACGAATTGTAAATTTTGCAAAGCATGACACGAGTCCCAGCGACATTGTTGATAACATAAAATATAAAATAGGTTTTAAAAAGCACTTAGCCACACAAACTACAAATTAAGCTTGCAATAACTTTTAGGCATCTCATCTCCTCAAGAAATGCAAAAGAGAAAAGAAAAGAAAAGAAAAGAATAATAAAGTAATAGCTGGCTAGCTTTAGGACGGTGGAATGCCGACGCGGGCACTTTTGTAGTATACTAGTATGCACGCAGTTGAGTTTCTTTAACTGATTAAAACTTACAACTTTTGTTGTTATTTGCATTTGGAAGATCAGGGGGGAATGTCTTTTTTTTATATTTTTAATTAAGCTTTTTTCATGGCAATTGAGTCCGACGATGGGTGACAATGTAAGCTAGTTTAGTGACGTACTTAGTAATAACTAATTGTTAATTAACAGTCTCTCTTTAATTGGTCGACTTGTGCTTTAGGTTTAAGCTTTTTAATATCTTTCAATGCTTTGGATTTATACTGTACCGACTTTCGGTCTACGTACGCAGTAAAGTTTATTTTTTCTTTCTTTTTGAGGGTACAGGTAGTACAGTTGTCATAGATTGCCACGTAATGGTTGTTAATTTGATGTTACGTTATACTTAATTGTTTGATATTAATTTGTCGTTTTCTTATTTGTTTAATTAAAGGTAATTCAGCAACTTCTTACATGGTTCAGAGACTGGTACGCATGCAAAGATTAGTGAATAGGAGTTTCATTTGTCACGGCTTAATTAGCTTCACTAATTAAGACATGCTATACCGTCCAGTGTCAGAACACTGAACCACCACCATGCTTTACTTTTCAATATAATCCGATTTGGATATAATTAGTTGATAAAAAGCACATGCCTCGTTGGTTAGGAAAGACTAGACTAGAAAAATGCTTATATTTCATGTGCAATCAAGATAAAATATGGATATCTATTGTCGTTTAATTTGGAGGATGAATGAGGACTATTCACACAATTTTCAAAGGAATTAGGGGGGATAAGTTTTAGCCATCAACCTCTTACAGAGTATGTTGAAGTTATTGGATAATATTATATATTATATTATACTTAGTGTTGTGATTAAAGCGTGAATATATGAATCATAATAACACAGTTTGTGATTAATTAAATAAAATACCAATCAGACAGTTGTCTATCTTGTAATGCTAATTGAAGTGATTAATTAGCTCACCTCATGTCATCACCAGTGTGTCAAATCAAATATACTTAACCCACCGCTACTAATTCCCATTACGAAGGTGTCTTAATTAAGTATTAGATTAGAATTAGAATGTCGTTATCCATGATATTCATTTGAAGCACGAACAGGTGTTTGACAATGTCATTTTCAAAACAGCGTTTCCTAGTTTGCATTTTATTTTAATAATATATATCTCTTCAATTCAAGAACACCTTCATAAGGCTATTCGAGTGGCAATTAACAAATAAATAAATAAATAATAAAAAGAGAACAAAGAGGAATCGTCTATTTGATGTATATATAAAAATACAGTGAGGATATATATATTTATAAACAGCTCATGTGATTGTTGTTGACGCAAGTTATCATGTATCTTATAATTAAGCAATGAAACATGAAAACGGAATATAGGGGGAACTAAGTCAACATCTCAAGCTTGGTTGTACATTTAATTTAAATATATGACGAACATAAACGTTTCCAGCAATTTTGAAAAACGAAATGAAGAAAAATGCTAATTTTGAAAACAATGTGGCATGGCATCTGGGATTCTGGAGGGTTGAAAGGTACACTGAATGTACAGTTGTATTGTAATTTGTACAGCCCCGCCGCGTGATGCAGAAACGGGTTCACGTTGATCTCTCTCCAAATACATTTGATATCATATGGTGGAGCATGTGGCAATCAAAGTCTAACCAGCTGGATTTTAGCACTCTCTCTGGATATTTGACCCGGAATTGATTTTGGACCATATAACAAATATAGAACTGTAAATGATGACCCGACCTTGCGATATTCAACCTATGTTTAGTGCATCACGTTATGGGGCTTGACTTGAGGACCCAATTCATCCATCAAATGTGTTGTAAAAGGAACAAAGTTGTAAAAGATATGCATAGATTAATTGATTTTGACCCAAAAGAAAAAGATTGCAGCGGCCAGTCAGCAGAGTGCGGATACAGGTGGGAAGCCCAACTTTTTGAGATGAGAGGTGGTCAGGCAGAAGATGGGATGATGAGTGATTTGGGTTCCGTGCAACCGAAAGGAGAAGAAAGTACAGTACAGATAGAAGTGCACTCACCCTAGACCCT